CAGTATTAAAGTCTACAATTATAACCTTTGTGTAATTGCTGCTTACCAAGTGAACTACTAGCGTTTGATAAGTAATGTATATCAATATATATACTGGAGACTGATCATTGTTGCAGTGTTAGCCTCCTCACTAATACCATCTTTAAATTATACTAATTCTATAAGTAAATAAATAATTGAATAAATAAAATTGGGTTATCATTTGATAATGTAATAAGTAAAATTGCAAACAATTATATAATGTGTTAAATTATTTGTTGGATATAATTTGGATGTAGATTTTTCTATTACTAAAAGAAGCCTATTACTTATCCATTTTTATTTTAATCTTTAATTCATCCCTTCAAGGCAGACAGTGGCATAGCAATTATAGAAGTTATTAAATAAGTACTGTAGAAATTATTCATGGTCATAACATATATTTTATTTTTTATTCAGTGATAATTTAGAGATCCATCTATTTAAAGCGTTGTTTAATAACCTAATATGTCAGTTTTCACAACTTCCCTATTTTGTATACCTCCCCCCACAAATTATCAAAAGCAGATAGACCTTTGCCACCAGGGGGCAGCGCTCATAAAGGTATCAATGTACGTAAAGATGCACGCTGTATAATGGTCCGGTGGGTAGCTGCCTTGCAGCAAGAAGGTTCCGGTCTGAATTCCCGGAATTTTCATGTTCTCCCTATGCGTGATATTACGGGGCTTCTGAATGGTTGTCCTATTTTATCTCTGTTTATCTCCGTGTTTCCTTGTGATAGACTCGCGACCTGTCCAGGGTGTACTCTTCTCACCCATTGACAGCTGGGGAAAGGCACCAGCACCCCTTGTGACCCCAGCAGGAATAAGCGTGACAGAAAATGGATGGATGTTCCCAAAGATACCAATGCCCCTCCGAAGTTACCTTAAAAAGATATTCATATGCACTGCTCAGAAAAATAAAGGGAACACGTAAACAACACAATGCAACTTCAATTAATTCAAACTTCTGTGAAATCAAACTGTCCACTTAGAAAGCAACACTGATTGTCAATCAATTTCACACGCCCGTTGTGAAAATGGTGTGGACAACAAGTGGAAATGATTGACAATCAACAGGCCACTTCTCAGTACCTATGCTTTTTAGCTGATTTTATGATCAATTTTGAATGTTGGTGTTTTTTTCACACTCGTGGGAGAATGAGACAGACTGCAACCCAAACAGGTGGCTCAGGTAGTTCAGCTCATCCAGTATAGCAAATCAATGTGAGCTGTGGCAGGAAGGTTTGCTGTGTCTGTCAGTGTAATGTCCAGAAACTCCCCTGGTAGCAATAGGAGACAGGCCAGTACACCAGTAGAAAAGGTGTCAAGTAACAAAGTACAAATACTTCACTACCTTACTTAAGCAGAAATTTTGGTTACATATACTGGAGTGATTATTTTTTAACAACTTTTTATTTCTAACCCTTACATTTTTTTGTGCAATTATATCTTCTTTCTACTTCTTGCATTTTAGAAAATAGACTCAGTCATTTTGTTTTTATTTTAACTAATTTTCGTTATCGCCTGTTGGTACTTAAAACCAGGGGCGGTTCTAGACAGGGACCAACGGGGGCCAGTATCCCTGTAAATCATGTCCTGGCCCTTGTACCGAAGGCATAATACTAAAATAAGTTTTAATGATCCTATATGCTGGAACAGACATGGTTACTGGTAGGTCCTTTGGACCTATTTAATTTTTTTTCTTTACAAATTTTTTTTAACTAATTATTTAAAAATAAGGTGATCGCTTCAGTGATAATGAGATAGGATCCCAGTTTTCATCTGCTAAATGTTTTTTTCAAAACAAATAAAAAAAAATACTCTAATTTTTACAGCTGAATTTATTAGTTTTTTCTTAAGTTCTAATTCTGATAAAAAAAAAAGGTTATTTTAACTTAAATTCAAAAATATGTAACATTCATAAATTCTGATTGCATATTGACCTAATAAGACATAGAATTTTAATTCAACCTATTTGAATAGAAATTTCATGCAGCTGAGCAGATGTGACAGAGTCTGGAGGCACCGTGGAGAGCAACCTGCTGCCTGCAACATCCTTACATTTGAGGGGGGTAATTTCTTTGGAGGGCAACACAGCCCTCCATGTGCTCACCAGAGGTAGCATGTCTGCCATTAGGGAACCAAGATCAGATTCTTGTGAGACCGTATGATGGTGCAGATTGGCCCTGGGTTCCTCCTAATGCAGGCCAATGCTATACCTCATGCGGCTGGAGTGTGTCAGCAGCTCCTGCAACATGAAGGCACTGAAGCTATGGATTGGCCCTCCTGTTTCCTGATTGAGTACATCTGGGACGTCATGCCTTGATCCATCCACCAGTGTCACGTTGGACAACAGTTTAGATGGTTTAGTCCAGGTGTGGGAGGAGATCCCTCAGGAGACCATCCACCACCTCATCAGGAGCATGCCCATGGGTTGTAGGGACGTCATAGAGGCACGTGGAGGCCACACACAATACTGAGCCTCATTCTGACCTCTTTTAGGGACATTACATCCAAGATGGATCAGCCTATAATATCATCTCTTCTACAGTTTAGATTAAATTCAAATAAGCCACAGTGTATAATCACTGCATGATCGATCATTGTTCAGGTGGCAAAAAGTTATTTTACCCCAGCTGATGCTATGAGTGAGAAGCTTCTTAAATAGCCATATCAAATGTGTAAGTCATTTAAGAAGGATCAGATTACTGGTATGCATCAAGCAGAGAATATATCTATTATGAGATTGCAGAAAATTTGGGTGACAACTTTCAGATGTATTTTGAAAAACTGGACCAGGTAATGGGGGTATGATCGTTTTTGAAGAATAAATGTGGTCAGGAAAACATCTTGACTGATTGTGATTGGTAATCATTAAAACATTTTAAAAAATTAAATTGAGAATCAAGAACAGAACTCAGGGGTATATTTGATTGTGAAAGTAAGAATGTTCACAAACACAATACAAAGGTAACTCTTTGCATTGGCACTGAACAGCTGTGTACCTAAAAAAAAAAAGGCTATAGTTTACTAAGGAGCATGAAGATTGGAGTCGGGAGGCCTGGAAGGTCATGTGGTCTAATGAGTCCAGTCCACCCTGTTCTAGATTGATGAGCACATCAGGTTAAGAAAAGAGGCAGGCAAAGTGAAGCACTCATCACATCTTGTGTCTACTGTACAAGCCTGTAGGGCAGAGCTGTGACCTGAGCTTGCTGTAGTTGGTCAGGTTTAGGTTCTGCAACATTCTGTGCCCAATTAATAAGGTCACTTAACTATCTGGAAATACTGAATGACCAGTTTATTGAAAAAGTGCTTCAGGGAGGATAAGACAATTTTCACACATGGAATGGCAACAACAGAGTCCTGACATTAACCTTTTGAAAATATTGGGGATGTACTAGAGAATGCTTTTTATAGTGGTCAAACTCTTGCATCGTGGGTAAGACATCTTAGTATAAAATTATTGCACTGGACACTGTGGTAGGCTAAAGACACAATTCCACAGCGAATGTATGCTGAAATCCGAGCTCATGATGGTCCATCGATATAGAATGTATGACCTTTTTTTTTCTGGTGGCAGTCTTTTTTTTAACCAGGCAGTGTATCGTAAAAATGGCCTTATATGTTAACTTAAAATAACATGATTTACTTTGTCAGAAAGTCCAGAAGTCTTGGGTGGAGGCTTCAACAGTTGCCTGGATCAAAGACTACAAAGTTAGCTCTGATCTGGGAACTCAGGTAGAACCTCTGGAAATGATTTCATCTCTGCACAAAGAAGAATTCATCATAGAATGAAGAATATTATTTATAATCCCAAGAATCCTCTTCATCATCCTGCAAATTTAAGAACAGAGTGTTAGTTAAAGGCTCCTCCAAACCCGCATTGAGATAGACCATTACATGAGATCCTTTCTGCCGACATACATCACCAACCCAAAAAAACCCCAAGAAACCCCTTCCAACAACATTTAAGTATCCTTTTATGAATAATAACTTTTTCTGACTAGCTCATCCATATAAAATAGGCTTCCTTATATATATATATATATATATATATATATACATATATATATATATATATATATATATATATATATATATATATATATATATATATATATATATATATATATATATAGTTTTTACCCCACATAGACAGGGTCCATCACATACCGTTGACTGCAGGGGGCGCTCTTTCCTGCGTATGCCTTAAATTTGTGGTCCCTGCAATTTTTTTTCAGTATAGAAAAAAATAACGGTTTTAATATAATAATAATAATAATAATAATAACATAATAGCATAATATGATATTTTTTGCATTTCTCTTTGTGGATTTATATTTATTCTCAATTTTAAATTAGGTTTAAACCAATTTTTATTTTTAGGCAGATTATAGATTAATCTAAATACAGGTAAATACAAATAATAGTGTAATTAATGTTGACTTTTACACCTATTAAAACAAGCCAGAAGGAAACTATCAAACAATGAAAAACCAAATAGCCATTTACCATTACAGTCTTTTTTCCCAGACAAACATTAGTTTTTTCAGTCAGTCAAACAGCGTGCTGAGAACTGTGAATGCAGCAATGAACGTGGTCTAGTCCACGGTTTGCAAATGCGCAGTCAGTAACAACGTTCTTCCTCCACTAACTTGGATGTAAAGGAACCAAAACAAAACCGATCTTGGTATTATTTTGGATTAACATCTGCGTTTCATTTGATCTTGGTGAGTGACTTTTGTATATACGGACCGAAAAGAACAAGACGCTTTTTAAACGGAAATTTCAATTTTACAGCCTCTAGTTGACTTGAGATGCGAAGGTAGATTTCAAAACATTAGCTTTGCTGTCAGACCAACAAGCAGGGTTTATGTCATCGTAACGTTATCATCTATAAATACAGTCTAGCGATATCTTTGTTAAAGCTTGTCATAAAATTGAAATGAATGAAGGGCTGCCAGGAAGGTGGGTCTGCCTTTTTTTAGGCCATTAGCAAGACCCGCCTAGCTAACGCTCGTAGCAGCGGCGCTATTCGTCACCGCCTTTTCAACCGACGTTCACACCGGCTGAATGTATCCGGTGTGGCGTTAATCACTCCGGGATGGAAACAGGACCTCGATACGGTAAACTTGTGACTTGTTCTTTTTGAGAAAAAGGCTTTGAATAGAGTCAATTTTGAAGATAGACACGTGGCTTTTTTTAATGTTGAACAGAAATGCAAAAGAGAAAAAAAAAAAAACGCAACGCGCAAATTAGTCATCGTTGGGGCAGTCGTTTCCCTGTTAAGGGATTAGCCGACGGCAGCTAACTAGCTCTGTGCTAGCTGCTAACAAAGAGCCGTTGCTTCCTTCGCTTTGTAATGTTGATCCGATGTAGCCATTTCAGACGGTAATGGTGTCATTTATACAGCCCTAAAAATAGGTATGTATTGAATGATTTAGATAAGTAATAATCCAGTATTAATTATTACGTCTGTGTCGTTTATTTTTAAAATATATATCTTTTTTGAGCCGCGGCTAACATTTATCCGGTTTCTGTCATTCTAGTTGCCTACGTTGGCAATACTAGCTACAGCGGAGGCAGGAAAAAGGTGATTAATATGTAACAACAATGTCATTGCAGGTTTGCACAACCTTATCATATGACGTGATGCGAAAATGTTTCTGCTGTTACGGAAATGTTGACTGAAACGGGTTTTATGCTGAAACAATTTATATTGTTATTTAGATAGACGTTTTCCTTTTTACCAGCAACCCTTTGATACGCCGACTAACCACCACCCAAAGCACAAGCAATACATTATTTTATTATTTTATACTTTTAGTGATTGCAGTAATTATTACCTGTCGGCTGTGTTCTTCCAGCCACTTAAGGTCTCTGAACGGTGAGAGACATGCTTTTCATTTCCAGAGGGGAAGTAATACTAGTTATATTTCTTTTATGTATTTTTTTATATCTATCTATCTATCTATCTATCTATCTATCTATCTATCTATCTATCTATCTATCTATCTATCTATCTATATCTATATCTATATATATATATATATATATATATATATAGTCAACTGTTGTTTTTCCCACGTGCTTCAAATAGTTTTGCAAATACAGTTTTGGTTTTATTATTTTGTGCCATTATTATTGGAATGTTTCAAAACAAAAGTGCAAAAAAGTAAATGTGTATGTAATGAATACTTGGATATAAAGTACTTTGTTTATACACAATAAATTGAATTATAAAAAGGATGGAAAACAGCATTGGTGTGAAAGCGGGATATTAACTGCTAATATTGTTATCAAGCATCATAAAGGTCATGCAGTGGATGTGAACATTTTGATTTAAATGGCCAAAAAAACCAAACAGATGTTTACATACAAAATTTCTCACTTTCCCTGTAGCAAAGGAAATAAATATAATAAATTGTAACTACAGCATTGTTGGCACCTAGCAATTTTGCTGTCCATGAAACAGGAAACTGAAAAGTTATAGGTCTTTTGTTTGAAAAAAAATCCAGGCGAACATTTACTGTGCCATTTTGGCACAAATGCAGGAATTTGGAATGTATTATTGAAATTAAAAAATTGGAATGCTATTATAAAAATAGAGTTTTCCCCCCAAAAATCAGAAATTTTATTTTTTCAGCAAGGTCTATATACACACTTTGATTACACAATATACACACAAAGCTAAGTTAGAAAAAAATACATGAGGACACATGTGAATCTAAATAACCGTTTGTCCTATTAGGGTGCTTTATAACTCATTGGAAAGCTTTGGTTCTAAAGAATCCAATGATATGCACCGATTTTAGAATCGATTTTTAGAAGCTCCAGTGCATCACAAGCTCGAAGTAGCAGAGGCTTTCAGGATTTATGTAGGATAACAGATTCCAAATATGGGTGTGTTGTAGTATCATAAAGGCTGAATTATACTCAGAAACCAGGTTGTCTGCGTGTGTGTCACATTAAACGCAAATTTTCCCCCGCCCTTTCCGCAGACACTTTGTTGCACCTCTCCAAAATTGTAGGTGACAGCAATGCCTCTGATTGGTCAAATCTATATCCGCTCTACATTATGCGTATTTCCTGTTTGGTACCATACCGGCTTGTTTTGTTTGTATGATCGCCATTGTGGAAAACGACTGGTGAAGTTGGACCAGCTAGAAGAGCGAGCTGTGCGAGAACGCTGGGACCCATTTTCCACCTGGATCCCTGCTGTTTTTCACTCTCATGTCCCTCCTTTTTCGTACAAACTTTCCCCCACCGCCTCGGCCGTATCTAGACCCACAGCTATTTCATGATTCTCCCTCTTGGGATGTGGCGTGGAATAACATAGCGCAGACCACGATTAAAAATTGGGCATAAATCAAAAATATATGCGCCAAAGCTCACTGCGAAACACTGCTGTTGGAGTATAACCAGCCCTTAATACAGAGAGTAGAAGCAACTTTTAGCTAATTAATAAGCTATTGGTTGGATATATTCCAGAAACTGACTTTTATTGGGATGTAAATATCTTTTAATGAAAGAAATAGTTTTTATTTGCTATGCTTGGTTTTGCTGGTGTTTGGGAATTTGTTGAGTGGTCAGCTGCAAATGATCAGAGTTTTGATGAAGACTTTTGCTTTGGCCGATTCAGTGTCTTTTGCCTTTCATTAGAAAGGCATCATCCAACGCTGCTATGTTTGTTGTTGAAACCAGGCCCACCAAAACACAAACTTCGTCATAAATTGTATTTTGGCTACCAGAGTGCACCGTACATATTTAATGCTTTAAACTTCCATATCAATGCATTTTTTGCACCATGTTATTTTTTCTCCCACGCTGTTTACATTTGATCACTGCTGCACTTTAAAAAATGGAAATGTTCTGAAATCTGTACTAAGCTATATCTCTTTTTGTACACACTTCTGTGTATACAAAATGACAATAAAATGTGTCTAAGTCTAAGTTGCAGTAAAGGTAATACATTAAATTATATTTGACAACCATTTGTGGCAAGCATTACATTTCTGATATCATTCTAATATTAGTAATTTAATAAAAACAAAACAGGTAAGGTAATTGCATACATAATGTTTTAGGGCTGGAGAGATTTTCAAAAAGTTAAACAACCTTTAAGTTTTTCCTAACATAAACAATGACTATGGTTTGTAATGCTGTGTGCCAAAAAAAATCATCTCTAAAAGTTGGACACGAAATTCTAGTCTTCCTTAGCTTTAACAATATGGGGTGGGGTCGTCTTTGGTGCTTTATTCAGTTTAACATGAATAAAATAAGTTGATAATTTGCATTTTTTGAGGAATTTATTAAATTGCAAGTTGCCCTGTTGCAGGAGCATGTGGGGCAAAATGACATTTTGCCCCACATGCCCGGTGTAACTTCATGCTCGGTGTAACTTCACTCTCTAATACCAGAAGGAATGATTGTTGTAATTTGACGGCTCATAGACAGCTCAGTACATAGAAAATGTACCGTCAATATGGAAATTTCTAGTTATACAAAAATATAATCTAAAGGAACATCTAATCTAAAGAAACGGGTCATTTAGATATAATTAACAGATTCGGGGAAAAAAAGAAAAGAAAAAAGGTATCCCAACTGTACTGTGTTACTTGTTGTGTGACAAACTATGGGTTTACTCTCATCTATGTGGTAATTAATGAATTTTGCTGCTTAACATTATTTTGTTGCCTGGTCAGTATTATTTGCCAATTGTTTGACTTCACAGTTATGACTTTTTCTCTAGAAAACTCCCAGCAGGTTTCACCACATTGAAGCCACCTTTTATATCCTGAACCAGATTAATAACTAACCAAATAAGTAGGAAAATAAGGGAAACCAAAGTAAAACTCCTTCAGGGTTATGTTTACTAAAAATTCTGCTAGTAGTTTTGCTAGTTGCTACAATTCTCTTTTAAACATGTTAAAACTAACCCTTTTGTGTGGATTCTCTGTTTCAGGTCAAACTGGACTGGAGTGCATTCACACATTTTTCCCACCCTGCTTTTGCCCACCTCAGGGTGATTGGTGCCTGTTGGAGGCTGTGCACGCATGGTCTTTACCAGTTGTTCCTTATGCTTGAAAGAAGCTGGTGTCTGACAGGATGGATGGTGTGGACCTAAACAGACTTGTGTTTAAAAATCAGTACCCTGCGTTCTGCTGCGGTGTAGAGTCCTTTTCCATTTACAAGAGAACCCCTCCCCTTCTACTCTCCCACTCCCTCCACTATATATATGAAAATAGTCTTTGAGCAATCAAAGGGACAGCACAAGATAGATCTCACTTTAGCCTTTTTGTTTTGGACAACAGGTCAATACCACCTAACTAAGCCTATATGGCAGTCATGGAAGTAATCTTATTTTAATTTTTATTTAGTGTACCAACTAACTCTAAGCCCGGGCGGTGGGATGTCGGAAAAGCCAGACGACAAAATGGTGAAGTTCCTAGCCCCCCCGCAGAGAAGTGGAAATGGCCCCAGTTCTGGTTCAGATTCATTGATGGGTGACTCCCGTCCGGTGGAAGTGAGACGCCGACATCACACCATGGAGCGCGACCGGTGTAACCCTGAGCACCGTTTTTTACGACGAAGTGTCATCAGTGATTCTAATGCCACAGCTCTCGCCCTTCCTTTACCCAGCAAAATCCCCATTCCATTACCTCCACAGGTCCAGCCACAACAGCACAAGGCTGCCGCCTCTCCTGCACTGCAGGTTGAACCCAGGAACAAGCAAAGTGAGAAGTCTGCCGATGCTGGTGGAGAAAAACAAGAAGGAAAAGATGGTGAAATTGCCAAAGTAGATGTTTTGTCTTCGTCTCAGCAGTCGGCTGTTGTACAAGACGTTAGAGATGGAGACATGTTGGTAGGAGCTTGCACTGCACCACTTTTGCCAAGTCACCAAGAACCTGAGAGTGTCAATGAGGCGAAGGATTCTCGTGAGAACGATGGGGAGGAGGAAGATAAGGACTCTGCCAAAGCGCGAGCTGAGGCAGAGCAAAGGGAAGCTGAGAAAAGAGTTCAGGATGACATCGAGGAGGCAGAAACCAAAGCAGTAGGAACATCACCAGATGGAAGATTCCTCAAGTTTGATATAGAAATCGGACATGGCTCTTTCAAGACTGTTTACAAAGGCTTGGACACTGACTCCACAGTGGAGGTGGCGTGGTGTGAGTTGCAGGTAAGCAACAGTTTATCGCTCTCATTCAAAATTTCAATTAATGCATTGTTTATTTTGGAGCTGTGGACCTAAAAGTAATTCAAAGTATTTGTTTTTTTTCTGTGAAATGGCACCTTCAGTCTTCTTTGTTCTGACTTTGTGTTATCTAGAACTAGAATTTATTGTTGTTCATCCTCAGTTTTCCCTCTTTGCCTTAAAGCATTATGGTGGGAAAGGATAAACAAAAGTGGGTACTAGCATTTTTCAGTATTAGAAAGTAATGGGGTTGTGTTTTCAAAAAGTGATGACACAATTGGTCAGATGTTTTAAATACAAATTTTCTGCACAACTCTCTTTTTCATTCTCTTAAGTTTTTCCCAACACTGTCTGCAAACTTCTTTGTCTTGAGCATTGCTATGTATTGGATGAGAGTGGCTACAAGAGAATAAATGACTTGTTGTCATTAACGTGTATTTATTTATGAGACTTGGAAAAAGATAGAATTGATGTTGCAATAGTGATATTGTCAATATATGAGATAAAAATTATTTAACATTATTAGAGTTATAACAGATTCAGCTTCAAGGGGGATTCCTACAGACTGTGCTAACCCACAGCTAGGACTCAATGAGGCTTTTATTGAATGGCTTCTGAAGGTGTTATAAAAGATTTGTACATTAATTTCATTCCTTAGAAAATTTCTTATAAGTGCAGATTTATGATTGAGAGTATTAAAGTGACTGTATTTGTTCCTTCAATTATGGTATTTTATTTGTTTTTCTTAAGTATATAAGTATAGAAAAAGGATTATTATGTTTGGACAAAAAAACCCCTCTTGGAGGAATTGAAAGCAGGAAATTTAAAGTGTTGTAGCTAGTTAACCTTTAGGTGGAAAATGTCAAGAGTCACATGTTGGCACTAAACGGCACTAACTTTCGTGGATAAACTTATATTTAAGGCTGTATTCCCATTTGCTTTATATGGTCAACTTTAAACAGACCAGAGTTTGTTTAAAGGTCTTTGTCTGGACATTTGGGGCAGGTGTAAATAAGCTAAAGGAAACCTTGGTTTCTACCAAAAGACTAGATGGTTTCAAAACATATAGAATCTGGTGCGGTTCCCCTTTAGGTCGGGCCTCAGTCCAACCCACCTAAAGAAAGCATATATGTCCTTGGACTAGTATCAGTAGTAGAATTAATACCATACCCGTCTGACGTCAGCTGCTGCTAGCATGCTGCTGATCTTCTTAGGCTTGCATGAAGGTTGGGTCGTTGTACACATCCTAACAGGTTTTTACAGCTTTTCCATTTGGCAGCCATGAATACAACAGAGACATTTGGGTTTTGAGATCAACTTTCACACTTGCTCCAAGATAATGCTTTGGGGTTTTCTTGCCCAGTGTATCATGAAATGCTCAAGTGTCAAATTTGCTGTCTACTTTCCTCTCTTGAGGATACATTAGAGCCTAAATAGTTTCCTTGTACTTTCATACCTGAGCCCCAGTCTCCATAGTTTTGTTTTTGATAAAACGATAGGAATTACCGTCATTTCCTCTGAGATGTTTGTAGATTGCACTGCTTACCCAAGCATGGTTAAAACTTCCTTGTCTGGATTCTGTCTAGGTTATCATGGCTGAAAGGATTGGGTTATTATCTAAGGCCCCGTCCACACGAAGTCAAAACGAACACGAAACGCTGATATTTTCCAAAACGTTTGCCGTAAAGACGGAGACGTAAAATAAATGTGAGCGTCCACACGAATGCATGAAAACGCTGCAAAATGTATGCCAGGCCTGAAAGTGGCGCTGTGGTGCCAAAGCAAAAATAAGCGACGAAATGTTGGGCATGCGCATTAATATTTATACATGGTTGCCCTGCGGGTCCATTTTCGTGGTTAAGTCAAATTCAGGTGCTGAACTATGTCGTCGATATTGCTCTGTTCTTCCTGGAGATATTCCAGAAGAAGAAGATTCTGTTGTAAGCCCGACAGCAGGGTGAGTAGCATTAGCAGCAACGGCGCCATTGTTGTTGTGATACTGGTCGCGCATGCGTGTTTAGAGGCGACGCTATGACGCAGGCGTGTAAAAAAAAAATATGCGGTTAGAGCGTAAAGATGGAAACGCTAAAACGGCGTTTCGAAATCTTCCCACTCTGAAGGCTGAATAAAAAAAAGATCGTTTACAGACCACCGAAACGCCGGCTTCGTGTGGATGAGAGGCTGGTTTGGTGAAAAATTTGTGCGTTTAGGCCAGGGTTCGTCTTCGTGTGGACAGGGCCTAAAACAAAAGTCTCTACATTTGAATAACACATTATGTAAACTGTTGGTTTTGTTAAACAGACAAACCCCAGAAATGCTAAACTACTTTAAACTTCAATGTCATGCTTTTTTTTTCTTTTACAGAAACCTCCACATAGAAACATTCTGATCAATTTGGGATAGCTAAAATTTAAGGGATAGAAATTGAGAAAATAAATAGGATGGTTAGTTTTCACCTTTTATGATACAAAATAACATTTTTCTAAGTTATTTTAACTTTGCCTTTCTGAAAGTCATAAGCCACAAAAAGAAACTGTTTTACAAATTTGACCTTTGACCTAGATTCTTCATGATCTCTTTCAACCCCACTTTAGATTTAAAAATAATTTAGTATAATTGTAGCTCTGCTGTCTTTCCAAAGGACTGTAGAGTCCAAACTTTGACCTCACTCACCACATGAACATTTGGTTTTACTGTTGAGCTTTTCCCCGTCATGACAGCAGTTGGCCCTCACACAGCAATGGTAGAACCCCAGTCTCGCATGCATGCTGGTTTCAGAACAATGTTAAGATTAGAGGCACGGGCCCCTCCCCCCCTCACCATCCAAATCTCACGCATGCTCAGTACATTCCTTTTGCTAATGCTTGTGTTAATGCAAAACGGGTCACATTCCTTCTTGAGGAATCTCCTGTGTTTAGCACAGCAGGCTGACCTGCCAAGTCCTGCTTGTAAACCATCAGTCCACTTCCCACCCTTTTAACTTTCTCAGAGGGGTTTGGATTTTTTCTCTCCTTTTTTTCCTAAATTTTTTATTTTTTCAAGTGCAGTACGTTGTCAAGAAAATCCACCCAATTTAAACTAGATGTTATTCTCCTCTTAGTTTAGGTTGCTATTTTTCAGAAAAGACATCCTCCGAAGTACAAAGTTAAAATGAGACCGACTGCTTTTTTTTAACGTTGACCAGTTTGATTTAGAGCCAAATCTAAGTTATTAGCAAGTATATATTTGTTTCATGAAGTTGTATGGTCCATATTAGCTGGAGCCCTTTTGGTGTTTTTCTTTTCAAGGTGGAATAGATGTACCTGGTTTGCTACACACCAAATGCTTGTTACGAGATTAAAACAGTCTTTTAGTACAGTTTATATTAGGAAAGTCATGATCATATACAACAACACGACTCACTGAAGTCTGCTACAGCTTAACTACAGGCTGTTTGGTTAGACACTTTTTTTTATAGAGATTAGGGGTGTAAATCACATCCATCATGGCGATTCGATTCAGTATCGATTTCCTGACCCAACGATTCGATTATTTTCGATACTTAAGAATACACCACGATTCGATTCGATCCGATTAATCGATTAATCGGTTAATTTTTTTTTATTATTATTTTTTTTTACACCTTACAGGCTAAACAAAGTTTCAAGTTTGAAATAAATCAATGAAAGCTGTAATATCATTATGCATTTTCTTTAGAAACAACAGCAAATAACAGAAGTAGAAAAGTTGCATCAAAAAATACTGCAAAAATACTGCACAATATCAGTGTAATGAGTTCAATGCAATACCTCGGCTCCAGAGAAACTGTCCAACATATTTTTTTAGAATGTAATAAATATATTCAGGAAAGAGAGATGTTGTGTAGAGAGTTAGACAGGAATAAAAATAAACTAGATATAAGGGAATTGTTTCAAAGGTCATCTGGGGATGTAGTTTTTGGTAGTATTTTTAATTTTCTAAGAAGAACGGGTATTTTAGGGAGAATATAATAGTTTGTCTGGTCCATACTCCATTCTGGAAGGTGGCGGTAATGCACCTATAAGTTGTTTGCCAACCGCCATTAAAAAAAAGAAGAAGAAGCCTCCAGAGTGTTGCGTCACCGCCCCCTTGAGAGACGCTCCGCTGCACCTCTCCCAGACTGTAGCTGACCGCAAACAGTGCACCAGACAGGAGGCTGGCTTGTTTTGTTTTTATGACCGAAATTGCGGAAAACAACTCGTGAAGTTTGACCCGCTAGAAGAGCGAGGTGCGCGAGAATGCTGGGAGCCTTTTTCCAGCTGAATCTCCGCTCTTTTTGCCCCATTGTCCCTCCGTCGTCGGACTAAACTCGCCCCCACTTCCTCATCGCCTCGGCCGTTTCTAGACCCACAGCGTGTAGCCCAGACCACGCTTCAATACTGAGCATAATTTAAAAATGTCTGTGTGAAGCTCACTGCAACAAACTGCTGTAAGAGTATAACCAGGAAGCGCGGTAGGAGGGCAAAATATGTTTAGCGGCACCGCAGCACGGGAGGGAGAATTACGCCCAGGAGCAAATGGATAAAAATAGACCGGAGGGAAAAAAAAGAACATGAATCGATTATCTTGCGGACGTGTCGATGCATCGGATCGTCGGCTTTTGGATCGATGCATCGATACAAAATGATTATTATTTACACCCCTAATAGAGATCATACTATCTTGGTATAATCAGTTCTCGCCAACCTGGGTGCTGCTGAGTGATGTATACTCAACCTAAGCTAGTTTTGTATAATTGATGCATCTTGGTATGAGGAACATATAAAATGCTAATAAAAGGAATCTGTATTTTCTTTGACACATGGAGACATTTGTGGCTTGTTCAGTCTATTTAAAAGTGATCATTTCAATAGATAACAGGACTACTGTTCAGAGTACAGCAGTGTTGCTGTATTTTATCCTCCTTAAACTTTCGACTTCTGTCATATAACATGTTGGATTTACCAATGTTGGCAGCCTTTTGTAAG